TGGAGCACTGGGTGTTATGCACAAACAATGAATCATGGAACACTACATCTAAAACTAATGATGCAATGTATGGGGATAATATAAGAATAAAAAAATTTAAAAAAAAAAAGAAGAACCCTTTACCACAGTTTTATGTGTTTTCAGAAATTGGTAGACGGACAGGAGAAAGTGAAGGAAACTGAGAGAGGGAGAAATAGAATATTAGACTCTAAACCTAAGGAAAAACTTATTCCACTCAGACTCACCATTAGTTGTAAGTGTGTAAGCACAGCTTCCTATAAATGACCACTAAGTGAGACGGAAATTCACCTTACTATGTAAAGCAACCTCCATCAAAAATGACATCATGAAAGTACTTTAAACTTCTTAGCAGAAGTCCCCCTTTTGGTAAACCATCATTTTTCTTTCCCTCTTTTTAAGTTTTCATTTTTATTCTGACTCCTTAAGAAGATGATTGAAAATTAATCAAGCCTATGCTTGACTCTGGTCCCAAACCTGAATCCAAACTGGTCAAGTTAAGCATGAGATACATGAGCGTGGCCATGCTGTGCCTTACCACATCTTGTCAGTTACCTGGTGAAAACACTGGTATTTAAGCCTTAGAGGTGAGGTGATGGGAATGGGAATGGTGATGGTGGTGGTGGTTCTGCATAACATCTATAATCCTGAAAGTTGGTGATCATTTGATTCATTCTTAAGAAGATGAACCTTTTCCCATTTTATGGAGTTCCCTATCTCTTAATCATTAGAGGCATAAGCTTTTGTTAGAGTGCCAGGAGCATGCAGAATTTTCTAATATTCGATCAAAAACATTTCAAGACTAATACTGGCTCAGAGAACACCAACATGAGTAAGACAAAGACACTGATCTCAAAGGCACACAACCCAGAGGACGGTATGGACCCTTAAAGAACCACAATGTAATGTGATAGTTGCTAGGATAGAGGTAATTACAATAAACATAGATGAGAAGGGGTTGAAAAATTTACAAGAATGCCTGTACATACTGATACACATTCACACAAACTTATCCCCATAAAAGTAATTGAGTAATCAGAAAATATATCATATAGCCTGAGAGTTGAGGTAGAGAACTGGATAGATGAGGAAGAAGATGAGTGAGAGGTTTAGAATGAATAGAGAGAAGGTGGGAGAGAATGGAAGGGTTAACCATACCTAAGTCATTTATGTCTATCTAAAGCTCCAGTGGGCTCCAACTGAATCCTCTATATCCTCCTTCCCTGACCCTCTTGTCCCTGATGAATCTCTCCCCACCTCCTTGAATGCCTCCCCTGCTGGAAAGGATGGCCTACACCTGTGTCCAGAGAATTCCCTTCTTCACTTAAGGAACAAATCTGTATCCCTTTTAAGATGAAATAGGGTAGAGTAAGGTGATCCCCCAGGGTGGTGTTTCAAACTGTGGTTGAGCCTTTAGCCTTGCCCAAACAGTGGTTGTCTTCTAGGGTACCTGGTCTAATCTCTTGCTCTGTTTGATCTCATGTGATCCCGGGTTTTTCCTGCCCTTATATTCTGTGCTGATGCTGACCAGCTCCTTCTTGGCTCTTCCAGTCTGACCCCCAGTTTCCCCTTCTGGAATAGGCTCCTGAACATTCAACCTTCAACCTCCAGCTTAGTGCAGACTGCATTTCCTCACCTTTCTTCCCATCTCTCAGGGTTTTCCATACTGGATACTGGCCCCCCACCTCCAGATTTCCCCCAGTTTGGCATTCTTAACTATCAGCTGAGCTCCTGCAGGAAGTTCCTGTCACCCTCTCTCAACACTAGCTCCACAGCTACGTGCTCAAGCTGGATGTGAACCTTCATACCCAACTTCCTTGGAAGATGTAGCCCCCCAGTCCTTCCAAGTCTTTTCTAATTTGATCCCAAATCTCTTAGGAGCCTTTTCTCCCAAACCATTCCAGTCTACCTATGTGTTCAAGCCCTCCAATTCTCCACTGTCCTTCCGTTGTTCTTGCTCTACAGGTTAGCTTGGGATCATTTCGTAAAGCCAGTGCCTCTGTACCTTTAAACTTCCTTGACCAATCACCCTCATATTACAGCAGAAATACAGGATTCTTCACGACTGCTTCCCTGCGTACCTTACCAACTCCCCACCCACAGGCCCTGTGCTCTTTTGGAGGGCAAGAAGAAACAGAGAGACATGGATGCCTGATAGAACATCATGATGTTTTCAGTCAGTGTGTAACGGCCATACATTTTTTGTGGTGATAAAACTTTCTCCATGTTTTCTACAACATTCAAAATTTTACAGTAGTTAATATTATATCTGAAGTATAAACTTTTTGTATTCTATAACAATTGTTTTCTGCCTGAGATGTCAGCAAGCATGACAGCTAGAGAAATCCTTGGAGAGGCAGCTCCCCTGACTTCCTCACCAGGTCTTCTCAGTTGGTGTGATTGTGACTATGGGTCCAAGATAGTTTGTCATCAGTGATGTTTTTTGGTTTGTGATACTGTAAAATATTCAGGTTTTTTTGTTTGTTTGTTCATATTATCTACGAACATCAATGGAATGAATGTATGATTGCTATTTTTTATCATGTTCATCATCATCATCATCATCAGTATTACTAACATGATCTGGTATTAGACTTTCTTAAAGACAAAGTTTGTCAATTTAAAGATAAAAATTCAACCTTAAGAAGGAAGTTGAAATGGCTCACTAGTGATTTTATTATTTAAATCTCCAGAAAAAAAATGGTAAGACCAGTAGAACTCTATCTGTGTATTCTTAAGGAAATGCCTCCTTATTATTTTTGAAATATATAATATGGAAAACTTGATTGAATTTGAAATCTATTCAAATTATCATAAGAATACTTCATTTGTTGATGAAAATGAAACTAATAGCCATTAGGACTGAAACAATGCTCACGCCCTTGAAGGACAATTTAGAGATCAGATTTCCTAAATTCTGTTCAGTGGTAAGAAAAGACCGCTCATCAATCAAAGGAAAAGCAATTACCGTTGCCTTGTCATTTGCCACCATCCACGTGTGCAAGCAAAGTCTCTTGTTGACTGTGACCGTCAAAAGAGATCATTTAAACCCTTCACCAGGAGTTACATGTCGTTGTTTTAAAATCTATAGTTTTAGAAGCAAGTACAACATTCTCATTCAAAAAATCTAAAAATATTTTATTTGGAAGATTTATACAATGCAATATTGATAACTTTTCTATTATCTTGTTTTATTATGATTATTATTAGTAGTAGTAGTAGTAGTATATAAGAAAGCAAAAGAATGTTTTGTCGTGTTTTTCCACTAAGTCCAAATCCCCTCCAGTTTACCCCATGGGCTGGACAAGCATCACCACATTTTGTGTGTGCCGTAAACTGTGTGTGCCATGAACTGAAAAAGTGTGTAGTCTTGGAAGTACAAAACAGTCATTAAGTGTGTAAGCTATAAAGTCAGATTGCTAGGATTTAAATCTTGGCTCTAGGATTTATTTACTAGCCATGTGATAGTGAGTTAATTTAACTTTTTTGTTCTTGTCATTTCCTCTTCATCAAAATGCTGATAATATGGTAACCGCCTTACAGGCTAGTAGTGAGAAAGAAGGTAAGGCATCAATATGGAGTTCCTGGCATAGACCCTGGTACATGACGTGTGTTGATTAAATAAGAGCTGTTTTTGTCATTGGCTTAGTAGGGAGGAAAGGAACCAGAAGATGTGCTCTTAATCCCAATCTTTGCCTTGCTTTCCTTCTTATCTGCTATCCTGAGCTTAATGGAGGGAAGAGAAACAGAGGATGAAACAAATTGAGAGGTGGGGACAGAAAAGGATAAAGGGAAATAGAAGGAAGTTAAGGAGAAAGAAGAACGGGGCAGGTGGGGCACCCTGAGTAGTCAGCATCTATAAGAAACATAAAAATTGAAGTGAAGTCACCCAAAGGAGGGCTGGGCAAACTTCTCTGGCTAGCCACCTTCCCCCAGCACCATGCTAAGGAGGGTGAGTAGAGGCTCTTATATAGCATAGGAGAAGACACCTAAGTTTGGTCACAGGAGAGAGAAAAAATAGGTAGCTTGCTGGTGAGAAGACCAAGGGTGGCAGTTGGCACATAGGTAAGGAAACAGCTTTGCAAATAATTTTCAAAATATTTTCAAAATATTTTGGAGTTTCCAGAAACATCATAAGCAGCCCTCCTTTGCACATCCCCCATGTACTAATGCTACCAGATCCTCTTTTGTGGTTATGCCACAGCTGAGGCTCCAGAAAAAGACTTACCTCATTGGGCCATGCTGCCAAAGTTGTTTAAAAAGACCTCCTCAAGGAGTTAGCCTGCCTAGTCCCTCCTCATCCTGACTCCCGCTCTCCACCCTCTCACCCCAGTGTGGATTGTGGTGATGCTATGATGCTTTTTCATGCCCACCCAAAACCTGGCCACAAAGGGATCACACCCAGGGGTGAGGCTGTGCTACTGCGGGCAGCCTTGGTTGTTGGCTGTGGGGCTGGCCAGCGACTTTCCACATTGTGTGGCAGCTGCTGAGCCCTGCCCACCCACATTTTCTTCTAATCCCGTCCAAGTGACTGAGAAGCTCTCCAGTTGGTGACCACAGGAGCTGCCAACATCAGGGAGAGAGCCTACTCTTTACCCATTCTAGGGGAGAGTCCCACCGGTAGGTGGGCAAGTGGAAAAGGGGAAGGAAGACGTTTCTCTCTTCTGTAAAACACCCCCCCAAGACCAGAGAACATGGCCCAACCTTTATGCTCTTCCAGCATCCCTGCCTGCTTTGCATACTTTTGGCAGATGTGTCCCATTACACAGGGTGCAAGGACAATTCTTCCTCTATTCCACCCAGCACTGGATATGCTGATGGCCCCTCATCTTTATGGGCAACATTCTAACATATCTGGTTGGGAATCTAGCCTTTAGACTCACAAGTGGGGCTGACAGACAACTTACACTCCGAGTCTTCACTCTTGAAAAAGCCAATGAGTTTGATCCGGTCCTCAATGCGTTCGAAGGCTTGGACTTCCAGTTTGCTGTTGATGATCTCCACGGGATCTTCAATTAGCTGGAATGCCACACACACGCACATGAAATATGTTCCAGTAAGAGAACTGCTCCCTGCACCGCGGGGACAGCAGGCACACATGTAGGACACTTTGGCAGGAAGCTGTGGACCCTATCCTCCCCCAGAGTGCACAGCAGCAGTGCCTTCTGAGGAGTTAGCTTAACTCAAGGGGTAGGCCGAGACTAGGCAATTCTATTTCTCTTGTCCGTTACTGGTTTAGAAATGGCATGTGACCCAATTCTGGCCAATGACTCTTCAGGGTAGGTTTGCTGAAAGCTTTGGGGAAATTCTCCTTTCCTTTTAAGAGAACAATGGAAGCCAGATCCTCTCCCCCACCCCTCACCCCCGATTGGATATGAATGAGGAGATGTGACATTATCAGCTCCAATCACTGGTTATCTTAAAACCAAAGTGAAGAGTCAGCTTGAGGAAAAAGCCAACACACTGAAAAGAGCACTATCTGTGATTTATCAGTCTAAAATCTGCCCTCCCTCTGCTCTTCCATTTGTGCTTTTTGTGTCAGGTAGTTGAGCATGGTTTCTGTTATGTGCATCTAAAAGCCTCCACTTAGCTGAAAGAGATGGGCTCAGAATTTTCTGTTGCCTCCTTCACTTTTTTTAGGGCTTGCAGGGATGGGTTCATGAGAGAGCCGAGCAGAGTCTACGGGTGCTTTTTTTGCAGGAGATGGCCTTCAACTCACTTCTGACTCACTCTCTCTGGGTTTTTGAGGCTGTGAGGAAAAGGCACCAGGCCACTCTGTGCTAGCTGGTACTCCCTCTGGTCACTAATAAAATAGTTTCTAAGGTAACTTAAGGACCAGCTTCCCAGTAGAAGAAAATAGCACTGCGGAGTAGGCACTCCTTAGTTTTTTGTGAAGCCCGAGAAATCTGTCTTAGACCAGGACAGATTATCCAGCTTCTCCGTTCTTACTTTGGGATTTCACTTCCCCCTATATCTGAACCCAAACAGCTCCACGCAGGGACACTGTGCATAAATGCTTACATCCAGGAGAAATTCCACCAGGACGTCAGCTGCAAACTCGCCATCAAACTCAATCGTGCGATCACCCTTAAGAACATACAGACTTCCTTCTTCATCAAAACCTGGAAGAAACAGAGTCCCCAAGACAAGGTCATCCTGATGCAAGAAGAGCCATCCTGTGGGCTGAGGTCTGGATCAGGATCCCTGGATGACAGTGGGGTCAGGATCAGTGGGGCTAGCATTCAACTTAGGATCAGTTCCCTTGAAACCATCCCTGTAAAGGGTTCCCAAAGTACACACTTAAATTGAAATCGTCAAGAACCAACAGCTCCACCTGGACTTCAGTTTGAAAGAAAAATCTATTCTCTACCCTACCATTGCTTTAATTTTCCGAAAATACTGCCAGCCCTATTCTCCCTGCCAAAAGTTTCAATGCCCCCTGCCCACTTGACTCCTTAGCCAGGCATTCCAATCCTTCCACAACCTAACGCCAGTCCCACCCTTCACGTTCTCCCCTGGGTAGACCTGCTATCTTAATCCTCTGTGCAGCTTCCTTGCTTCTTGCCCCGGTGCTGACGTGAAAGAGTGTGTAAAGGAAAAGTCACAGATGTTCTCCTGGTTCCCCAAATTTGGAGTGACTTCTATCCCCATTCCCCCATCCTGGTCAGTTCCTTCGAGTCTCAGCTTAGGACTCATTTTTCCCAAGAAGGCCACCCTCTTGCCACTACTGCTCTTCTCTTGGCTCCATTTACAGTACTCACTGGAACAGTAAGCTCTCCAAAGGCAGAACTACTCTCCCCTTGGCACCCCAGGATCTTGCACAGAGCCTGGACACACTAGGCACCCCATAAATGTCCGTGGCTAGGATGAACGGCTTACTTTTCTATCGTAGCTGAATTCTGCACATCTTCTTTTCCCAGTTAGCTGATAATGCCACAAGGGAAGGTTCTGCATTTTTCTACCCTCCATTGCTCCTGGCGTAATACTGTGTGCTTTAACAAATGTTTGCTGGAAAACTGTGTTTCCCCCTAGGAATGCTAAATAACTGAGGCTGGCATTTAGTCCAACTGCATGGCATCCTTAATTCCTTAGACTAATTGTTTCCAAGCTCTCTATTAGCTAGAGAATGCTTTCTCCAAATGAACTCTCCTGCAAAACCTCTAGAGAAAAGGAGGCCGGCCCACTGCCTGCTGTGAAGGGCGCATGGGAAGAGCCCGGGCACACCCTGGAGCACCATTTGTAAATCCAAAGGACTGATGTACCAGGTATCCTTGAGGCCAGCAGTGACCGATCATGAAGGGTACCTTGGGAACTTCAGCCGATGTCCCCATGTTGGATTTTGCTCTAAGTGAGATCAGTTAGGAGGCTTTTGTAGTAGTTCAGGCGTAGCCTGATGGAGATGAAACTCAGGCAAATGGAAGAGAGGATGAAGATGAAGGCATAGGTTCACAAAATACAACTGTCCTGTGAACTCCGAGAACCAAATAGTCCAAAAGAACCTGCCCCAATTCCTCCAGGCTGAGCTTTTGGAGAAAAGTTCATGTAGATTTTTCAAGCTCCATCCACTAGGAGAATAACCACTGGTCCATTCTTATGAAAGCTTGCCCACCTTGTCCCCCCGCTAAATTTTTAGATCACTGGAATACTGGTGTTTTCTTCTAACTAAATTTACTGGAAATTCTCCCAAATTCAGCTTCCCATGAAAACAATAGGAAAGAAAACTAGGGAACCAATAGGTTCTGGAGGAAGAGAAACAAGGCACTGAATTGCTTTTGACTAGGGAAAGAATTTAACATACTTTGTTCTCCTGCTCAAAGGGAAAACATATTCCTTAATTTGTCTCCAGGGAAAAGATACCACAGACATTCTTAATAATTCATTATCATTTTATAGTCATGACTTCTTTGTATCTAACCTAAATACAGTCTCAAAAAATTTAAATCTTAAAAAAAAAAAAAAAGCTGTTCTTCTTGAATATAGAGGACAATTGTTTGTAATGCCTTAAGATAATGAACTTTCATGTACCTGACGCCACTACTAATCTTTTTTTGCCCCCTGTGTTTACTACTCCAAATCCAATTAACCTTTCTTCAAAGGTCCTGTTTTATAACCTCCTGCTATTTTTAAATAGCCATTCTTCACTGGTCATGCAGAAAAGGCAAAATGGCTACTACCTGTGTGTGGGTGTTCAGAAAGCAGAGGGGCTCCCCATATTCTCTCTCCTTGGGATTTGGGGTGTGAGAGTCTTAAAGTGCACTTGCACTTAAGCATGACATAATGGACACAAGAGATCACAACATGCACTGTGAGGTCACTTCACCATGCCTCATCTAAATCCTCCCCCTCGCCCTCAATGATAATGCCCAGCTGGGGTTTAGCTTTACATTTAGAAACCACTGGGACCTCAGAGTCACTACTATTCATGCTATCTTGTGTTGGCTGCTTCAGCCAAGAGGTAAGGAAATAATCGGTGATGGGAGAAGAGATTTTTCTCTCCCCCAGAGAGATCACCATGGCAGTGAGATAAAGAGGCTAGGCTTTTAACCCGCTCTAGGAGCCAAAAAGAAAAGTATGACTCTGGCGTCAGTTTCTACAATGACACAAAGCTATATTAGATCTTTCATGTGATATCGTTCAATGCAGGCCAATACTGCTTTCATGAAACTCTCCCCCATCCCAAGACTAAGGTGTGCAGAATCATTTCGTATTTATTTAAAAATAGTCCAGTTATCATGCATGAAGAAATGAAACTGTTTTGTTTTTTTTTTTTTTGAGAGACACATTTGTTTTTCTAGGTATACCTCAAAAAGTCCTACTTACCCAGTTTCTTGGCAAGCTTGGCTTCTTTCTTGGCATCCACCATCACAAAGCCTATATCTTTATGTTCCAGGATCTGGGCCACAAGCTGAAGGGAAAGACAAACCAGAGGGTGAGCAGACCAAGGGCAGAAAGATGGTAGAAAAATCATGGGATAATATTATGGTGTAATAACAAGAGGATTTTCCTCCATAAGTCCTGCTAATCTGACCAATTCAAGCAGCAACAAAGGGATTCCATGCTATCCCCCAGGAGAAGGATGGTTTAGCAGAAGGCTGAGAACCAAAGAGAGAAAATGTGAGGATCAGAACTAAGATACAGGATTTGGAAGAATAAATCCACTGTACTCTGCTCTCAGGGTGGATAAACTTAGAATTGGGGGAGAGAAGAATCAAAAAGGAAGCAAAGAGTACTTGGGTGACCGTGGATACATGACAAGGGGTCCAGAGCCCCTCGCTAGCCACCAACTGAACCTGGAGTCAGGTGGGGACACGAGTTCACAACGTGCCCTGTGTGGTCACTTAACCGTGCCCCATCTAAATCCTCCCTCTCACCCTTGAAAAAGCTGAGGAATGCCAGAAAAGCTGAGGAAACTGAAAACAAAGAAGACCGGTGTCCCAATACCCAAGCACTGTTCTTGAGCTGTCCCAGCCCCTGGCCTTGTGAAGTAGTAATGTGCACTGGGTGTGTCAGGGCAGATAGACCCAAGATGGCTTCTGAAGTGTTCCCACAGCCCACTGAGAGGAAGAACTGGTGGTACATTGGAACGGAACCATTAGCCACAACGGGGAAGAGGGTGCAGCAGTGTCCTAGGTGGACTGATGGCTGGAAGCTACTCTGGGTGGACATCAGCACAGATGATGACACCAAACGTGGGACTGGCATCATGTTAACCTCCCTGAAACTCAGATCTAAGGAAGCAGGGAGGCCTAACTGACTGAGGTCTAGGTCTTGCCATTTGGTGAATGGGTGCTTAAATAAAAACAGTGGAGAAACTACTAGAGAGATCATGAAATATTAATAGCACTTTTCTTTAAACTTTTTTAAAAAGGTAATTTTAGATCACCGTGCAATTCTAAGAAGTAATACAGAGATCCCTTGTACATTTCACCCAGTTTCCCCCAAAGTAACATCTTGCGAAACTGCAATACAATATCACAAACTAGACTTTGGCATTGATATGGTCAAGATACAGAACATATCCATAACCACAAGGACCCCTCATGTTAACCCTTTATAGTCATATCTGCTTGCTCCCGCCCTCATCCCCTTCTTAAAAAGATTTCTATAACCTTTTCACTTCAAGAATGTTACATAAGTTGAATCATGTAGTATGTAACATTTTGGAATTAGCTTCTTTAACCATCATATTTCTTTGGAGATTCATTGAAATTTTTGTGCATATCAAAAGGTCATTTATTTTTTAAATTGCTGAGTAGTATTCCCATGCTATGGAGGTACTATGGTTTGGTCAATTATTCATACATTTAAGGACATCTGGGTTGTTTAAAGTTTTTGGCTATCATGAACAAAACTGCTACAACCATTAGGGTACAGGTTTTTTGTGAAGGTTGGTTTTAATTACTCTAGGAAACATGATCAGGGGTGTGATTGCTGAGTATAGTAATTGCAGATTTAATATTTAAAGAAATCGCCAAACTGTCTTCCTGAGTAGCTGTGCCACGTTACGTTCCCACCAGCAATGTAGTGATGAGTGATTCAGTTCTTCCACATCCTTGCCAGCATTTGGAGTTATCATTATTTTTAATTTTAGCCATTTTAACAGATGTGTAGTGATATTTCATTTTGGTTTTAATTTGCATTTCCCTAATGTCTAATGAGGCCGAACATTTTTTCATGTACTTATTTGACATCTGTAGCTTCTTTTCCATGAAATTCTTGTTCAGGTTTTTGCCTCTTTACGAAATGAGTTGTTTTTTTGTTGTTGTTGTTGTTTTTAACATATAATGTATTATTTGTTTCACGGGTACAGGTCTGTGATTCATCAGTCTTACACAATTCACAGCGCTCACCATAGCACATACCCTCCCCAATGTCCATCACCCAGCCACCCCTTCTCTCCCACCCTTCTCCCCTCCAGCAACCCTCAGTTTGTTTCCTGAGATTAAGAGTCTCTTATGGTTTGTCTCCCACTCCGTTTTCATCTTGTTTCATTTTTCCCTCCCTTCCCCTATAATCCTCTGTCTTATTTCTCAAATTTTTCATATCAGTGAGATCATATGATACTTATCTTTCTCTGATTGACTTATTTCACTTAGCATAATACCCTCTAGTTCCATTCACATTGTTGCAAATTCTAAGATTTCATTTTTTGATGGCTGCATAATATTCCATTGTAGACATATACCACATCTTCTTTATCCATTCATCTGTTGATGGACATCTAGGCTCTTTCCATAGTTTGCCTATTGTGGACATTGCTGCTATAAACATTGAGGTGCATGTGCCCCTTCAGATCCCTACATTTGTATCTTTGGGGTAAATACCCAGTAGTGCAATTGCTGGGTCATAGGGTAGCTCTATTTCCAACTTCTTGAGGAACCTTCCTACTGTTTTCCAGAGTGGCTCCACCAGCTTGCATTCCCACCAACAGTGTAGGAGGGTTCCCTTTTCTCCGCATCCTCTCCAACATTTGTCGTTTCCTGACTTGTTAATTTTAGCCATTCTGACTGGTGTGAGGTGGTATCTCATTGAGGTTTTTATTTGTATTTCCCTGATGCCGAGTGATGTTGAGCACTTTTTCATGTGTAAATGGGTTGCTTTTTGGTTGTTGAGTTTTGAGAGCTTTTTAATATTAGTCCTTTGTCAGAGATGTGGTTCATGAATATTTCTCTCACTCTGTAGCTTATCTTTTTATCTTCTTAAGAGGGCCTTTCACAGAAGAAAGGTTTTTAATTTTGATCAAGTCCAATTTATCAGCTTCTCCATTTATGGATTGCGTCTTTAGTGTTAAGTCTAAGAACTCTTTGTTTAGCCCTATATCTTGAAATTTTCTCCTAACTCATTTTCTAAAAATCTTTTGTGAAAGATTTATTTATTTATGTTAGAGAGAGAGAGTGCGTGCAGGCATGCATGAGCAAGCAGGGGCAGGGGCAGAGGGAGAGAGAGAATCCTGAAGCAGACTCTCCACTGAGTGGGGAGCCCGATGCAGGACTCAATCCCAGGACCCTGAGATCACGACCTGAGCCAAAATCAAGAATCAGATGCTTAACCAACTGAGCCACCCAGGTGCCCTCCTTTTCTAAAATTTGTATAGTTTTAATTTTAATTTTACTTTTAAGCTCATGATCCATTTTGAGCTATATTTTGGTAAGGTGTGAGATTTATGTTGAAGTTCTTTTTTTTTTTGTCCAGCACCACTGTTAAAAAGTATATCTCTCCTCCATTGAATTGCTTTTGCACCTTTGTCAAAGATCAGTTGACATAATTATGTGGATCTATTGCTGCTTTCTCTCTTCTGTCTGCCAATATCACATGGTCTTGATTACAGTCACTATATAATAGACCTTGAAGGTGAGTAGACTGCCTCTTCCCACACAATTCTTTTTTTTTTTTTAAGATTTTATTTTTATGTAATTTCTACACCCAACGTGGGTCTTGAACTCACAACCCTGGCATCAAGAGTTGCATGCTTCCCTGACTGAGCCAGCCAGGCACCTCCCACATGATCTTCTTTTTCAAAATAGCTTTAGCAAGTTTAGTTCCTTTGCATTTCCATATAAACTTCAGAATAATCTTGCGTATAATTACAAAAAATATTTCTAGGATTTTCACAGGAATTGCATTGAATCTTTAAATCTGTATGTTAACTTAGGGAGAATTGACATATTTACTATGGTGTCTTCCAACTCATGAACATTTAGTTAGATCTTCTTTGACTTCTCTCATCAGCATTATGTAGTTGTTAGCATACAAGTCTTGTGCATGTTTTGTTGGGTTTCTACCTAAGTATTTAAATGTTTTGAGTGATTTTAATAGTAGTGTATTTTAAATTTTGGTGTCCAAGTGTTTATTGCCAGTAAATAGATATATAATTGGTTTGTGCATGTTTATTTTGTATCTTGCAGCCCTGCTAAACTATTATTAATTCTAAGAGGTTTCTGTTTTGTTTTTGCAGATTCCCTTGGATTTTCTATGTAGACAATTCTGTCATTTACAAATATGGACAATCTGTATGCCTTTTATTTTTTTGTGTTTCCTTATTGCACTGACAAGAACTTCCAGCATTATATTGAATAAAGGTAGTAAAAGTGGACCTCTATGCTTTGTTCTCAATCTTAGGAATTTGTCTACTTTTCCTTTCAGTTCTATCAGTTTTTGTTGCACATATTTTGCCGTTCTGTTCTTTGGTGCATATACCTTTAAGATTTCTTGTTTTCTTGGTGGAGTGAGCCTGGATCTATTTGGCTCTACAGTCTGTGTTGTAAATCCCTCTGCTTCCTCTTCTGTGGTTGCTTCTCTCATTTTCTCTTCATTCCTATGTCCCCCTCCACTGTTCCCGGCATCTGTGGCTTCTGCCTTGGATTTCCTTTCTTGTTTTAACTTCTTTGAGGACTTTGTCGATTCATTCTTCCCTCCTTAACCTTCTCACATGCTCCCCATTCCCTTTCTTGCCCTCTGCTCCTAACCACCTCGGTTCCTTTAAGGCTAAGCATATTGGTCACAGCACAGAAGCTGCTCTGTGGAGTGCCCCTGGTGACCGGGGGTGGAGGGGCAGGCAACATATGGCACCACCTGCCCCTAGGGCAGTTTTCTCTCCTTTCCTTGGATTTTGGCCGAGACTAGGGAAGGCTTAGGATGAAAGACATCATCATCAGTGTTTATGTGATGACTCATCTGAGCTTTCCTGCAATGCTTAAACAGGCCAATCTTTCTGCAAAGTCACTTGGCTTTTGTCTATTGCCTTCAATTCATTAGACAAGGTCATTTTTGAAATGTAGACATATAAGCCACTCTGCCCTACTTAGTGCTATCAAAATGTTGATTTAAATGTTCCCTTGTCTATCATTCAAAATTAATGATGGTGAGACCTAATGGCTTTGTGATATTAGTAAGTTTTCTTACTCCTGGAGCATGAGCCCCTAGCAGTGATTCCTAAACTTCAGCATGCATTTAAATCACAGGCTAAAATGGGGCTTCCTCGGGGTGCCTGGGTGGCTCAGTCATTAAGCGTCTGCCTTCGGCTCAGGTCATGATCCCAGGGTCCTGGGATCGAGCCCCGCATCGGGCTCTCTGCTCAGCAGAAAGCCTGCTTCTCCCTCTCCCGCTCCCCCTGCTTGTGTTCCTGCTCTCTCTCTCTCTCTCTGTCAAATAAATAAATAAAATCTTAAAATAAAATGGGGCTTCCTGGGCCTCAGCAGCAGAAAGTAGAGAACAGAGCTGGGGTGGGGTTCCGAGATGTACGTTTTTAAAAGCTGCACTACCACACCCCATGATTCTGACACAGCAGATCTCAGGCCACATACCACGCTCTGGAAAGCACTGCTATAAATGATGGTCAGTTCATCCAAAAGTGATACGGTAGCATGTTTTTCAACTGTGACCCTCAGGCCCATGCTTTGCTCTGTTGACCCCTCTACCTTAGGCATAGGAGAGAAATATTAATAATAGTGAGAATATAAGCGATGAACTCTGAGAATTAAACAGAATTTTACCCCTGACCTCTCCTAGGCCTATAGCACATTTTTTTCTTGGGCTTTAGGTAGATGTAAAGGCGTGCCTCCTCTAGGCGTGGAAAGCAT